ATTTAAAAAAGAAGCAGAACAGAAAAGGAACAAATAACAAATGGAACAAAGAGAAAATAAATAGCAACATGGTGGATGGATTTACACCCAACCATATCAGTTATCACATTAAAGGTAAAGGGTCTAAACACTCCAATTAAAGGGGCAGAAATTATCAGATTGGAACTTGCGAGGCCACCGCCTAGACAGAGGTGGGGGCGGGCAGCCCCTGCAGCTGTGCTCGAGCATCTCATTTTGCTGCCTCTTGGACATGTAGTCCCTTCTCTGTGGGCCCAAATGGAAGGCAGGACGCTTTGTGCCAGGAGCAGAGAGTACAGACTTCCCAGCATGTGCTATGGTAATGTCAATGCAGAGCAGCACTGAGTTAACCTCAGAAAGCAGCTGCTAGCACCTCTGAATGAGTCTTCGTCCACCACCACCTTCTACCCCAGATCATTGGCTCTGATTCCACAGTTCACCGACTACCATAATCCTAGCAGCTGGGTAACCCATCCCACCCTCAGGACAGTGATCTGCCAGCCAGCATTAGAGAGAGGATCTCCCTGTGAAGACAAACCCTTGGAAACCAGCCCTAAATGCCAAGCAATCAGACTGTTTTCCCCACTTGATGTCATGTGAGCCTTTGTCCAATGTCTGCAGAGCTTCTCCCATGGCAGGATAAGTGGCCAGGCTGGACACACAATCTCAGAGGACCCAGGAAGGGTTATTGGTCGAATCTAAACCCAGATATCATAGAGATATTGTGTTCATTCATTCATTTGTCCATAGAGTGTTTATTGAGTGAATATCTTCTGTGTGTCAGGCACTATTTTAGACACTGAGAAAGCAGTGAAGACTGTGAAAAGGCTTGTACCTCCCAGGGGCTCAGGGTCTAGCAAAGGAAGACAGACAAACATGCAATAAAGTATGATGACTGGTAAAATAGCAATCCTTACAAGGTCTGATGGATGCACCCAGCCAGGTTTTGAAGGATGAGCAGGAGTCTTCTGGGGGGACAAGCCAAGGAAGGCCACCGCAGGCAAAGGTCCAGCAGTTACAAGGTGGCAAAGGTGAGTAGAAGTGGGATGTGTTGAGAATGCCTTGGGCCCTGGTCTGCATGGATGGTGCACATGAGGAGGTAAGGGCCAGGCAAGCCTGGAGAAATACCATGTGCCGGTTGATTAAAAACCTGAATGCCTGGCCAGGGAGGGAGTTTGGACTTGACCCCCTGGCCTGGAACAGGGTGTCTTTGAGGGATTCTATGCAGGTGGATGGCATGAGGATATTGGAGCTTCAGAAAGGTTACTCTGGAGGCGGAGGAATGGGCATGTGGGAGCTGGAGGAAGCCGCTCAAGGCAGAGAGGTGAGAGACGGGGCTGCTAGGGAGGACTGGCATAATGGGGGCCAGAGTTAGGCAAACGTCTGTCTGGGTGACAAGGAGGAGGTGAAGAGGTGAAAGGGACAGGGCCTGGAGACTTATCAGACATGGAGGAGGCATGGAATTTGGGGAGGGCTGTGCTGGAGCTGATCTAGAAGATACTTCTGTGGGGGCACCACAGGCCCGGGTATTACCACAGACGAAGGGGAGAAGAGGGGGTGGTGGTGTTCTCTTGTATCACCACAGATGAAGGGGAGAACGGGGCAGGGCGAGGGGTGGGGCAAGGGGCGGTGTTCTCTTCTCTTTACTATTGGCTCTGACAGTGTGTGGAGAGGTGGGCCCTGTTACCAATCACACTATGAGTAGCCTGGATTTCTTGCAATCCTATGGGGCTGTCCTCTCAGAGCTGATGGAGGCCAGACGGGGACTGGGGTAGACAGAGCAGCAAATGTGGCCATCCTCACAATACACAAAGCCAAGAGTCTCAGGAAGCAACGCCTTGGAGAGCAATAGGTGTGATCTCTCCACTGCCTCCCTGCCCTTCCTGAGCTCCAGCCACACTTGCCCGTCCCAATCACACTGTGCTCGCTCTGCCTTCAAGCATGTATATATGTGATTTCCTCTGCCTGAAACTCCTACTGCCTCCATCCTGCTCAATTTGGCTCACTTTTCCTTTAAGACTCATCCTGTATTTCCCAGCCCTCATGTGACTTAGAATTCCTCTGTGCTACCCTCCCCTAGCCCTTGGTCACATTTCTAATCACAGTGATGTGGTGGCCTTTCTTCTGTCACTCACCACTACTAGATGGTGAGTGCCTTGGAGGTTGGAATTGGGTTGTATTATTTCTTAATTTTCAGGGTCAACATGAGGCCCGAAAGAATGGAGAGGCAGATGGAGGGATGGATGGAGGGAAGAAGGGAGGAGTGATTGGAGGAACCAATAGATGGAAAGAGAGAAAGAAGGAAGGGAGGGAAAAAAGGAGGGAGGGAGAAATAGAAGGAAGGAAAGAAAGAAGACAGGGAGATATGGGTGGACAAAGGAATGGATGGATTTATGAGGGATTGATGGATAGGAGGAAGGAAGGAAGATGGATGGATGGATGAATGGAGGGATGGAGAGATTTACAGACACATGACAGCATGCATTAGTGAAGGAATGAGTAAATGATTGGTGGAGTAGGAGAGTGAGCAAATAATGAACAGGTGAATAAATAAATGATCAAAAAATGAATGAGCAAGTGAATTGATGTTTGAGTGGATGGATGAATAAGTAAATAAGAAAATAAGCGACCGAGAGAATGGATGAATAAATAAGTCAGTAAACTCTTTGCATAAAATAAAAGAAAAAATAAATAGATTGGTGAATGCGCTGATAAACAAAAGTAGTTAGTAAAGAAATATCATTGGTAACCTGAGCTTCCCTGCCCAGCAATGTTTGTAGCCCTAATTTCTTCAGCCTGTTGTGGACACAGCTGTATCCCCAGTGCTTATAACTCTATCTGGTGCATGGTAGATATTCAATCAACATTTGATGAATAAATAAATGTATGAATGAATGTTGGTAGACCAGTTGACCCAGTGCTGTGGCAAACACTGAGGTTGATATTAGGAGACTGGTTTCTAATCCTAGCCCTTTGCTTTTCAATGATGTCAATTGGAGCTCAGCCTCTTTCTTCTCTGAGCTTCTGTTTCTCTATCTGTAAAATGGAATGATTGCCTTTTTTCTTTCAAGGCTATGGTAAAGATGTAATTGTGACCAGAAAGCGGTCCTGATTCAGACCTCAAGAGGGGATTCTTGGACCTTATGCAAGAAAGAATTCAGAGGAAGTTCATAAAGCGGAGGCAGGTTTATTAGGAACGTAAAGCATAAGAAGAGCAGTGGCGTGGGCTGTGCGTAGTTATTTCTTGATGACATGCTAAACAAGCGGTGGATTATTCATGAGTGTTCCAGGAAAGGGGTGGGCAATTTCCAGAACTCAGGGTTCCTCCCTGCTTTAGACCATATAGGGCAACTTCCTGATGTTGCCATGACATTTGTAAATTGTCACTGCACTGGTGGCAGTGTCTTTTACCGTGTTGATGTATTATAATTAGCGTACAATGAGCAGTGAGGACGACCAGAGGTCACTTTCATCACCACCTTGGTTTTGGTGGATTTTGGCCAGCTCTTTTACTGCATCCTGTTTTATCAGCAGGGTCTTTGTGACCTGTATCTTATGACACTAATCCCATCAACCTCCTATCTCATCCTGTGACTAAGATTGTCTGACCTCCTGGGAGTGCAGCCCAGTAGGTCACAACCTTATTTTACCCAGCCCCTATTCAAGATGGAGTCACTTCTGTTCCAATGCCTCTGATGCAATAATAAGAGCCACATGGCAACAATAAGGGCTCAACAATATTCACTCCAGTCCTCCCCACTCTTCTGTACTACCCGAAATCCCTTCTGCATTTTTTTTAAATTATAAAGCCCACACTATGTATCTTCTCTCACGGAAGCACACTTTCTCATTTGTACATCTGAGCAGCCGAATTTCACCCATGGCACCTCCTGGGTTTGGTCAAATGAGACAAAGATTCCCTCCGACACAAGCTAGTCTGTCTCCTCTGAGCCCTCCACTTGACTAGGCAGCATCTCTGTCCTTGTCAACTCCAGATGGAGCAAGAATCCGACTAAATCAGTTTAGCAAAAATCCCCACTCTTGGTATCCGACTACTGTGGATATCTGATCAGCTTGGCCTGCCTTCAGCAATAATCCTATCACATTAGTTTAGCTAGAAAATCCCTGAGGTTTCCTCTAAGTAATTTTCCATCCATGAGCCCCCGCCCTGCTCCTTGGTTATAAATTCTCACTTGTCCCTGTTGGGGTCAGAACTGAGTCCCACCTCTCTCCCCACTGCGAGACCCGATTGCAGCGATCCCCATACCTACCCCCAGGGCCCCTTGAATACAGTTGACCTCACCACCTTCAGCGAGTGCCACAAATAACGTTGTTTGTTTGTTTTTCCCCTGCGAGACAGAGCCTTGCTCTGTGGCCGAGGCTGGAGCGCAATGGCGCGATCTCGGCTCACTGCAACCTCCATCTCCCAGGTTCAAGTAATTCTCTTGCCTCAGCCTCCCGAGTATCTGGGATTACAGGCACCTGCCACCACTCAGGCTAATTTTTGTATTTTTAGTAGAGACGGTGTTTCACCATGTTGTCCAGGCTGGTCTTGAACTCTGACCTTGTGATCTACCCGCCTCGGCCTCCCAAAGTGCTGGGATTACAGGCATGAGCCACCGCGTCCGGCCATAACGTTTTTTTTTTAAAGAGGTCTGGATTCATGAGAAGCCCTTCCTCTCCGACGTTCCAACCTTAGTTGAGAGCCCTCAGCATTTATAGGTTACTATTTTTGCTTTTATCATCATCGTCATTATTGAAAATTTCTCCCAGAGCTTCAGGCAGAACTAAGTAGACAAAATACTTCGGGCCTGTTTTCATCTTCGTTTTTAATTTTAAGTGGAGAAAACATGGGATGGGTGGAGAAAGCAAAAGTGCTTTCTACTCGAGTGAGGTTTACATTTCTGAACGCCACGATCCAAGCTCATTCCCCACTGGTTGCCAGGAGAGCTGAAGCAAACCGTATTTCCCTTTCTTTGCAGTGAGGAAATTGCCTAATCATTTGCAGGCTAGGAGAAAAGACCGCACTGCAGAACAACATGTTTTAATAGGAAGCTACAAGACTTCTCATCTTAATGCTAACGACCGCCCATTTATATTAAATGGACCCCTGAGCGCCCTCCTTAAATGCCCGTTTTCTTTTTGTCTCCTTGAGTTTGAACCTTTAAGACCACCTGGACGGTGGGGACATCCTCCCTCAACGTGCATTGCTCATCTCGCCACGAGGGGGCGCTCCCAGATCAGAGACAGGCGGCTGCCGCCCACCTGCCTCGGGCCGCCACCTCCTGTGCAGGCATCAACTTTGTGCACCTGCCCATAGGGCAGGGCCGAGGGTGGGGGAGGTCTCCTGCCCCATTAAGACTATGAAGTCCAGGTGCAGCCCTGAAGGCTAGAGCAAGGTCACTACCGAGGAAAAAGATGTTCCTTGAGACTTCCCGGGATCTCTGTGAAAACTCCGGACTTCTGGGAAGTCAATGGGACTGCACTGAGGGCCTACTGTGTGCCAGGTTTTATTCACTCCACAAACACTGAGGGCCTGCAGAGGCGACTGTTCAGGAAGGGGAGGAAGCTGAGGGTGAAGGAGGGAGTCTGACCCTCACACCAGTTTCCCTGGCAGCCAGCAGAGCGTTCCACAACGTGTTGCCCAGCCAGCAAGTGGCCTCAGCTGTGGACTAGCTTCAGCCTGCCCCCAGGGGAGCTCTGGAGTAGGAACTGTAGTACCACGAGGTGAGTGACTGATCTTTTGCACCCCCAGATTTGGAGTGGGGGGTATGACAGCCAAAATCAGGGCCTGGGTGTGGCTCCCGTAGCATCTACGCCAAATGTCAGCAATGATTGTTTTTGGGTTGTGGTTATGTTGAAGATCCGTCCCTTAAGCAGAGGGCGTGAAGATAGTTCTCAGAGACACCCTCTCTTCCAGGGCTCCCCAGGGCTCTCAGCGTCAGCCCCAACTCTTTCATGAGAGTCTGCTAGAACCTCCTTCTCCAAAAGAAAATCTCCAGTGGAGATCAATGTGTATCCTTGGGAAGCTGAGATAAGATGATGAGAGGCTATGGTAAAGGTTGTGTAGGGCCCCGAGCCCTGCTAGTTCTCTCTGCATACACACCTGTGCCCAAACTGCACCAAGTTCATCCGACACTTTTCCTCTTTCTCTCTCCCAATCCAGTCATATGCCTTATTTTGTCAATTCCATACCCTTAATGTTTCCTACCCAGACTGGCAGTCACCACGTGGTTAGCAGACAAGCAAGGACTTTGGGGGTTACCCCCAAACCCCAATTTAGCTCCTGAGTGAACTCAGGAATGTCAATGTGGAAGGGATTTTTTGGATGCAGAAAAGGTTTCTTGCAAGTACTTGTTACTTAATATTCAATGTAATACAGTAGTTTTAATAATAAAAAAAAAAAGCCCTAGTCATTCTTAAGCCTTTGAGTTCAATTTTCAAAACTTATTATTCGATTTCTATGCAATCAGTTTCAAGGGGCTTTTGATGAATGGTCAGGCAACTCACACTCAGTTAAACGATCTGTCCCATTTGCAAACTTGGTTAATTAAATTATCTTCAACACTACACAGGACTTACTAATTTAACATATTCAATTTCCTTTTTTTAAACCCTTTCGTTGCCTGACCTAACAAGCAAAACTTTCCAAAGTAAAATCTAATTTAAAAACTTATACAACAGTGAATCTCAAGATCTCTTATACATTCTGGAGTCATTTATAAATTTAGTATAAAAAGATTCGTGTGCTTCTCGACGGAAGAATCACAAGTCTAAACTCAATTACACATTTTAAATTGGAGTCACAAGGCTAATTTGTTCATACTCTGATATGCAAAAAAAAATCTTCAATGTTATGAATACTTTAAATATCAACTACACAATAATATGAGTTTGACTTCTAAACCTTTGCGGAGTTAAAAGACATCTGCCCAGTGATGGAAAAGTTCTCCATTTTAAGGTAATTGGGGTGACGTCTTTCAGTACATTGTACCACCTCAGGGCCAAAGGCTCCATATTGTGGCAGAAACTGCTGGATCCCCAATATCCATGCTCCCCTGCCTCCTTAGACGTAGAATCCCAGACTCTCACTGGGCCAATTGGCCACCTAGAATAAAGATGACATTTCCCAGCCTCCTTGCATCTAAGTGTGGCCATGTGACTCAGATCTGGCCAGTAAGATAAACAGAAATGTTATGTAGCAACTTCCAGAAACCTTTCCGAAAACACAGCTGGCACATATGTCCGTTCTCTCTCTTATTCGTTCCTCCATCTTGCCACCTGGACCATAGAGGTTGATATAGTTTGGGTATTTGTCCCTGTCCACATTTCATGTTCAATTGTAATCCCCAGTGTTGGAGATGGGGCCTGGTGGGAGGTGTTTGGATCATAAGGGCGGATCCCTTGTGAATGGCTTGGGCCATCCCCTTGGTGGTGAGTGAGCTCCGGCTCTGAGTTCACACAAGATCTGGTCATTTAAAAGTGTGTGTGGCACCTCCCCCAACCCCCATCTCTCGCTCTCTCTTGCTCCTGCTTTTGCCTGTGATGTGCCTGCTCCTCCTCCACCTTCCACCATGATTATAAGCTTCCTGAGGCCTCCCTAGAAGCCGAGCAGATGCCAGCACTATGCTTCCTGTATGGCCCACAGAACCATAAGCCAATTATACCTGTTTCTTTATCAAGTATTTCTTTGTAGTAATGCAAGAACAGCCTAACACAGGTGGGATGGTTGGATTCCAGTCACTGGCTTGGATCTGGAGGTCCATAGCCCCCCTCTAGGGCTGGTGGCGGGATGGGCTAGAAGAATTCTGAGATTCTGACAACTTCATGGAATAGAGCGTCCACTTCAGCCTGTGAGAGAGTGTTTGGGAAGATCCCTCCCATCCCAATGCTTCTTGGCAATGTGACTTTGCCCTCTTCCCATCAAGAGATGAAGTCTGTTTCCCTCCCTGGAATCTGGATGTGTCCCTGAATTAACCCAGCACTGTGCTTCCACCTCCATGTAGCAAAATTGGCATCGGGTGACTTTTGAGACCTGACAATCCCATGTGAGAAAGCCAGCCTAGCCTTCCAGAAGGTGAGGGTCTCCAGCTGGGGTACCAGCTGCCGGCAATGGAGTGAGCCTATGTAGGACCCTCCTGCCCAGGCCACCCTCCAGCTGCCTGCAGTTTCAGGAGGGAGCCCAGGAGAAACCCACAGGGGAAGTTCACCAATGTGCGAAATATGAAGTGTAAATTGTTGTTTTCAGCCACTAAGTTTTAGGGTGGTTTGTTGAAGTGAAGGCTAAATAAATGCAGCCCTGGGCTGCCCACCTCTGACTTTTTCATGAGAAAGAAACTTTGATCTTGTTTAAGGCATGATGGCTTTGGGTCTTGGGTGAACTGAATCCTGATGCACACATGCACCTCTGGACCAGAGATTTTGCTTTGATGTGATACCTCAGTGGCCAGGGTGATTCTCTTCCGCTGCTGATGGATGTGCTGAGCCCTTTTTTTTTAATCAGTTGCTATGACAACAAGGGACTCCATTTCCTTTAAAGACATTGGAATCTTGTGTGCAATTAGATTCTGGCCATACCATTACCTAATTCTTCTTTCTGATCTGAGACCAGAGTTCCCCCCACCACTACCCCCGACACTCCCCGCCTTGCCCTCCTCCTGCCCAGGAGGTCAAAGCTGGCTTCCTTTGCTAATCTCCTTATTGCCTAATTGAATTCTGAAGCTGTTTCTTGCCCTTGCTGTCTGCTCAGGCCACGACTCAGACATTTAGAGGCTTCCTTTTGGATTCTGCATCTCTCCCTTTCTGGACTCTGAGCTGTAACATCCCCCCAAGTCAAGTTAGATAGAGAATGAGAGCCTTCTCCTGCTCCAAGCCTCTGTTTTCTTATCTGCAAGGTGGAGACAGTTTACCAACCTCACATGTAGGCTGGGAGGTCTCTGAGACTGTGTCTACAAACACCTTGCCGTTCTCAGCCCCTTCACTCCCTGCCAAGGCCCCACATGGGCTTCCTGGAACATTGGCAACAAAATCACAGATGCTCCCTATATCCTCAGGGACTGCTTGGCTCTCAGCTCCCACAGTCCTCACCAGCGTCTGACCTTCCCAGGGTCCTCAGGCCAGCAGCGCTCCCACCTCTGGGCCCTTGCTCTTGCTTTTCTCTCTGCCTGGGGTGCCCCCCCACCAGCTCTTTCTTGGCTGTTCCTTCCCCATCCTTCAGGTCTTATTTTAAACCTCATCTCCCCAGGGAAGTTTTCCCTGACTACATCACCAGAAGAGCCAGCCCATCCCATCAAAAGT